TTAAGTATATGTTGCAGAATTCCTTAATTTATAATATGTATAGATCAATTGTGTTTCATATATTAATCTCACAGGCATTGCACCAATAGCTTTCTATAAATGACGAAAAAATGAGTGTTCTTTCCAATCCTTCTAGATTTATTCATCATTTAACTTTACACTGAAAAATTTCACTTTACTGTTGATGTTTAGTATTAAATGTAAGCTTACTTCTATGAATGATTTATAACGCAATGCATGTAATAAATTTTTTTTATTAAAAAATATAATTATTTATTTATGAAAACATTTTTCTATAGAGATAATTAATAGTTAAGTTAAAAAAGTAATTTTAGAAAATAAATTTAATCATACTTGGATAGCATAAGGAGAATATATTTTGAAAGCTGAATTATATCAAACAATGCCTGTTAGATCATATTTTTCTTTCTTTCGTCAAGGAAGACCGTCACATACAGATGTTTTTCTACTTAATAAAAAGAAAAAGCAGGAAAAAAAGTTTACATACTTCGGATTAATATTAGATAACTGTTAGTTTGATTCATCGTTACTAAATTATTATTAATTATTGAGATTTAACAAAAATATTTCTACTCTACTAATGAAAAAATATGATCCACCAACGATAATATACATCATAGTATTAATTAGAAGATAGATGAAAATAGAAATAGTTTGCTCTTACCATAAATGATACGAAAAATATTCAATTCCTTGTTATGGAATGTTAAAAATTGAGGTAACTATTTATGAGGCCAAACATGTTGTATTATTTAATTTTAATATCTAATCATGAATAATTAATCGATCGTATAAAGGATTACGTTTATAAAGGGATGAATATCAAAACAATTCAACCATGTAGTATAAACATCTAAGAAAAAGCTAATAACATTTTCAAACAAAAAGAATATTGAATACAAGATGCTCCTAAATATGACTCAATAGAATTAGCTTAGAAAACTGCTCGAGAGAATATTTATCATGAAGTACAATTCAGACACTTATATTTATTTATATATATTCTTTCTTGTATGTGTTAAAGATAAGTCAGCGTCTTAAGATGAACAAATTCTCTAGTCGTTAAAGAATGTCATATTTTTGGTGACAGTTTCAAAAATAGATGCAAATAATTCAAAGGTATGGGTGACCCTTCTCTCCTAGAAATTTATATCATAGGTTAACATTACAGATGTTAAAAACAGAATACAGAAATTATCATTTTTCTATGCTAACAAATAGAAATAGTGATTAAACTGTTATCATCTCAGCAAGAGTCTATACCAAGAGTAGAGAATATGAATGAATAAAAGCATTTTCGTTCACAATTTTTTATCTTATACAACAAAAAACTGAAACCAAAGGAACAAATTGAACTGCATTAATGTTCTAAATGAAATATTCATTGTTAAGAATTCGTTATCGTTGCTTCTCATCATTTTACATACCATTTAACATGAATGTCAATGAATACAAACACATATATTTATATTCGAAGAAGCTATAAATATTAATCTAAATAATAAGACATCTATCTCTTGAAGACTTTTTTTGATGATTAACAATTAAATCTCATCAAATTTACGCGAGAAGTCCTCTCATCAATAAATCGTTCCTTGAACCGAGAAAATGTTCATTATCTAGATTCGAAAGAATTATGAATAGATTCTAATCAGCTTGGAACTCTTATCTTATTGTTGTTGAGATACTGTATTTTTTAAAGTCAAAGTCTTGGCTCCTCTCAGAAATGTCGAAAAAAGTGATATTATAATTTCTGCACAAAATTAGCGTAGAGGTAAACCTTAAACAGAATGGTTTATTGTAACAGCTTCAGATCGATGCTGTCTGAGGGTACGGATATAATAAAAATGTGTCTTTTATATCATTCATAGGCATTAGTGTAGTCGATGTTCTTATTTGAGCATAGGAGCAAATCAAAAGACTTAAAATTATCATCATAAATTATTCTACTTGAAAATTATTGTTCTGCAAAATGTCAACTCCAAGTTGCAAAATCATTTTTATCGGTGTCCTGGAGGAAGACTACGACTTTCATTTTAAAAAAATGCCGTAAAAGTGCAATATCTCAGCAACATAGCAGGGACTTTTATCAGACTATTCATAGCTCATTAAACTCTACATGATGAGCATTGTCTAGCAAAAAGCATTCACTAAACTGGAAGACCTACTGTGCTAGTAAATTGGTATAGAGTATTTTTTTGACAAATGAAAACATTACTAATATTGTCTATCTATCTAAAAAAAATGTTGTTACTTTCTTACCTTGGAATAATATATATGGTGCGTTTTATAATAATAAAGAAAGAAGTTTTGAAATAATTTTTCTTAATTTTGTCGTAAGTTTGCAACGTTCAATGATAGACAGATAATTTCAACAAAAGAAAAAGATTTAACAAACTAGATCAATGATGTTCATTACGGGAAAAAAACTTATAAAACCAACGAAGTAAAAGATTTCGTTGAAAATAGACAAAATGATTAGCCTATTTTTCTTTTGATGAAAAATAGTTCAAGAAAATTACAACAGTAATATTGTTTTGTTTTTATGTGAATGTGTTTGTCTCTAAATAGTAAAACAATATTCTAAAGAAAAGTCTTTTATCAATGTGTGTGCTTCATTATGACAAGCAGTGATTAAATATGAAGAAAATAACCAGTATGCCAATCATAAAATTGGTCTTAAGAGCCACACTAAAATAAGACTTTAATGTGTGACAATAGACAGATTCTATGCCTTTTTTTTTATTGTGTAATACACTTTTGCCTTGAATTTGCGCTAAGAAGATTATTCGAGAAGGTTCATTAAAAGAATCTTCAATGCATAATTTCTAAAGAAAAAAACGATCGAAGTAAACCGCTAAAGGAATAGTAGCCGTCTTCTCTACTGTTTTTCTTCATTCAATTGCAAAGTTTATTATTTCTATGAATGGCACCTAAGGTACTAAGACTGGTACTTATCTGGTATCAATAAACAAAGTTTATAATACATCATGTATCAACAGATGAGAAAAAAAATGTACAAAAAACACACATGAAGAGATAAATCAAGTTTTCTATAAACTAAAATTAATTTCGTCAGGAAAAAGGAGTTTGTCGTCAAAAAGAAAAATTATCTTATTGTAGTAGTTTATAAAAATATATTTAACTAACATCATTAAGAAAATTTGTATAATAAACATATAAAAGAAACTGTCTTTATCAATCAGCAATAAATTAATTATAATGATAATCTTATGAATCTCATCATATCAAAAAAATATATTTTGCGAAATAATAATAAGAATAAAATAATGACACTTTATCGATCTACTTGCAAAAAAAAAATATTTGATAATATCAAGCATAAATAAGGAATTTAGGAAAAGTATGAAGATTTCTATTGAAACGACGAATCTGATGGAATTATTAGTAGTATAGTTAGAAAAAAAGTGCTTAAAGAACCCAATACCTTAGAAGTATCCTCTAGAGAGTGGACCCAGACATTTTAAGAGCAGGTTGAGATCTTTCTAGACTTTCCTCTGGTTATACGCCCCTAACAATTATTTCGTTTTCGATAATATTTCGTTTTGTTAATTGATGTAAAAACAGAACATGAATATGAACCAAGTAAATGTTTAAAGAACATTTTTCTTTCTTACAATCTTTTTTAATGTTAAGTGTTCAATCGTTAAATAATTCTGAATTAATTTTCAATGTATCAATTAAAAACTGTTTAATAGATTTCTTTTAACGTATAACAAACAAAATCTGATGGTCAAATTTTAATACTTTTTTTCTTATTATTTTTATTGCAACATTTCTTTAATTGAGCAAACCTTTTTTTCTTGAAAAGGAATAATGAAAAAGAGAAGGAGAAAAAAGTCTAATGTCAATATAAGAATAAACATAAATGTGATGGCTAAAAAAGATGCTTTCCGTTTTTTTATATCGACCTTGAAACGAAAGAGAATGAAACGTCAACTTAAATATAAGATTTCATATTCTAATATAGACAATTTTCTGAATTGAATATCATATATTTTTTTTATTTAGGGCAATTATTGCATCTCATTTATATTCTAAAAATAGAAACAAATTCATTATTATCTTGTCTGTACTTATAAGTATCTAATGATACGTGAATAATATTTTTCGTTATGGATTAAGACAGATTATATTACATAAGAAAGCAATAAAATACTGACAAAATACTTGTAAATTTATAGCAGGGTAGGTTTATATATAGTATTCATATCATTATATAAAAAAATGTATATATCAATATTCTTTTAATGATTATATCAATATTATGTCTCTTACTGAATCACATAAAAATAAAAAACAATTAATCATTCTTTGCTGTATGATTAATAACACATAAAGGAGTATATTTTTCCAATTTTTTATAGTTTTTTTTTAAATAAATGAAAGTTATCTTAGATTTATTGGGTAAAATAAAACTACTTTTAATTCTCGTATAGAACTGATTAGAATATGATCTATATCAGATTGATTGTCTACTAGTTGTTCAAATAGAAACACATTTTGTTCGGATTATGATCACAATGTCTATACTAACGTCTATATTGATACAACTCATTGCTTACATCTTTCATCAAGCCACATGGTTTAACTTTTATTCACGTCGTTAAGATAAACAGCGGTATATATTTGCACACGATTCATTGATATTATTTTCCCTATGAAGAAGACAAAAAAGAAAACGGATAGGAAGCATACAAAGTATTTGTCCATCAATCGTCAAATGCTAAAAGACAGAAAGAAATAAGAAAAGAACGAAAGGAAGAAGCAAATTGAGTACGAAGATTTATTCAACTCTATACAAAATAGACCACAAAAGAACAGAAAGGCGATAGTATAGCGTCAAAGGTACTATGTGCTAAATAATATTAGTAACAAGGTATGTACATGCATACTTTTACTTTAGATAAATAGAACTTCTTTACTCGTTATTATTATTTTCTGAGATGGGTTTTTTAATGAATTTAACACCTATTGCGGTGTTACTTTTGGCTATTGTTGAGTGTGTTGCAGCTGATGTTCATTCAATTGGATCGATAATTGGTGGTATTATTGGTTTAGTAAGTTATTATGTTGATTTTAAAAATTAAATTGTTTGATTTTATTTTTGTAAGATTATTCTTATATTGGATATTATTGCTGCTATTGAAATTCTTCGCTCAGGAAAAACAATGATCGAAAAATTACTTTGGATTTTATTTATTTTTTTCTTTCCTATTATTGGTAAGATTAAAAGAATTTTTGAAATTTCTAATAGATTGTACTTTTAAAATATTATTTTATATAGGTTTGATTGTATACTTATTGTTTGGTCGTACTCGATCTGCTGGTATCTAAAATAATAATCGATGATTAGACAGTGTTTTCTATTATGCACTGATTTGACATTTGTTAGATTTTCTTTTTTTTTTTTTTTTGATTTCGTTTAATCAAGCTCTCATTTTCAAATGAATATAAGAGAAATGTGTAACATTTAGATGTATACAAAAGAAAAAGAATGTAAATAAGATAAGAATTTACAAATCATGATTCATAAATGGAAATTAACTGTCGGATGATAAAAAATATTAACTATACATGAAATAATTAGAGGATTCATTTGTTTGCTAATGATAAAAAAACACATTATAAATATTTTATTTGAGTATGTTTCGAGAGATGCTCATTCGAAGAATGATGTTTTAGATACTTAAGACTAATGACGGAAGTACAAGACGTATTATTATCATACATTCATACAATATTTTCTTTTTAATGCAAAATATTGATTTAATTAACAGAAGGTTTGGTGTGACTTTTTTTTACAAAGCATAAAGAATATTGAAAGATACAATTCAAATAAAATATTCAATTAATGTATTTCAAAATTTACAACTTTGTGCATAATAGATTCTATATTCTTATTAATTTTTTTTCTAAATATAACTAATGTATTTTTTTGTATATTTAATTTGGTCTCAATGTTCATGATCAATTACATACTTTTTAAAACTATTTGTATATTTATATAGAAAAACAAAAAGAATTCGGCATATACTTATTAATTCATATATAGATCTAATTATCTGCTTGGATAGATTTAGTTGTAACTATCAGCTTTTGAGTAATAAGATAAAGTTGAAATTTGAATAGAAAATATTATTTCTAAATTTGTAATTCATTTAAAAGCTCTTTTAAAAAGTCTTTGTCTGAACGCAATATTCTACTAATTCACTCTTCGAAGTCGACTCTTTTAAGGGCACGTTGTTCTTTCTCGTTGACAGTTTAGATGATTTGATTATATTAGAAGACAATGCCGACTAATTTATTTATGTTTTCGGATATCCAGTTACATTTTAGGTTATCCTAATGTCACAAAAAACTATTTATCATTCGTGTTTTGTTTATACGATGATTTAATCTTTTGTTCTATATTTATCCTTAATAGAATACGATTAACTATGTGTTTCTAATCGTTTTCTATGAAGAATCTAATGATATGAGCAAAATATTCGATTTCTTTTTTTTTGTTAAATTAAAACAATAAATTTAGATGTGATCACTTTTTTTTTAAAATTCTTCGTAGAGTGAAAAGATTATGAAAGAAATGATACTAAATAAAATGATGGATAGGAAACTGATCACACACCCGTTAATTCTATTTTAATCTGATTCTTTGTGCGCATTATTTATGGTAGATCACATTTCTATACTGATATTAAAAAAGAAATACAACATTATCTTTCATCTCTTTTGTGATTTTACGTGCATAATCACGTTGATATGTATTGCAAATGAAAAAAAACCTCATCCATCATCACACAAGACAAAAAGAAATTATATTTTGAAATGTTTATTAATATCAGTTTTAAAACAATAAAAGATAGTGATCGATGCAACATCGTATCTTTTTTTTCTTATTTATTTCATATTTTTTCAAAATCTAAATAATACAAATTGTCTTATCTTTTCTTTTTGTTTTTTTCTTGGTTTTAACATATACGTATATGTAATTCTACTATCAATAGGATTTGAGAGAAGTACATTCGTCCAAAAAATTTTGCTGAACGATATTCGATAATATTAGAAACTTTATTGCTATAATTTTAGTAATATATACGAGAGTTTTCTGCTAGTTGATGTCGCTTTAACCTATAGTATTTCTTTAATGACATTGATTCTTGTTTTTAGATATTTTTAAATGTAAATAAGAATTTTATTTATTCATTTGATAGCGAAGTCTTCGCAATGTTGAATTATTGTTCTCGTAGTTTCAACGAACAAGATAAATAACTCGTATAGACTTGAATATTAAAATTGCTCTCAAATTAATCGATCTAAATATTTGGAAGGTACAACAAATAATAAAATGAGAATTTATCTAAAAAATATTTTACTCGGAATAACTAATTATGTTGAATAATTCTTTTAAAGTCAAGTATGATACAATAAAATCACTGTTGATCTATTGAACAGAATGTAATCCTTCGAAGAAAACACGTTTTCTAACTGAACATTAGAATTAAATTAACAAGAGAACGTTTCATGTGTATAGACGAAAAATTATACGAAACTAAAGAGTACAAATAGTAACTTACTGTATGATATCCTTCGTTTTATAATATTTTTTGGAACTCTCTGTCATAGGAGAGATAGAATCAGTTTGGACTTTTTCAGAATTGATACCTGTCTGAGTAGACCAAAGTAGCCAGTTTATTGGTAAGCGGATTGGTCTGAAGTTCTCATTGACATTGGATTGACGAGCTGTTGTGCTATTCTATCCGTGGTAGTGATAATTGACACAGTCGACTTTCAACACAGTTTCATTGCACACCCTCGATGACATTTTCAGAGCAAAAAATTAATAAGACATATCAGTACAGAACAGAATCGGCTGTTAACCGGTACCGATTTCATTTCTATCTCATAATGTGCAAAGAAGAATAGTGAATGTAACTTTAAAACACAGTTATCCAGCGTTCACATCCCTTCCTATTCCTAAGGACACAAGTCAAAAGTTAAAACTCCATCTTTATGTCTCTTTCTAACAATTGAAAGCAATCCTATTGAAGAATTTTCTAGAATTTTCTTTAAATTTGCAAAACATTCTTGAAACTCAAATTGATCAAAATTCATGTTTGAATATGCGAAATAGTGAAAGTTATTACTTTTAATATAACTTAATTAAATAATTTCATAATAGATATACTACCATCGGCAAGCAACTGACACAGAAGATATAAATCAATATCAATGTTTCAAATTTTATAGTGTATAAGGAAATGAACACTTATAACAAATTGATGTGATCATTAGATCAACAGAATAAGAAAAGGAAGAAATTTGAAACAATGCAATACAAATGCAAATATTAAACGAATACATAGCAACAAAATAAATAAAATATAGAGAATCAACAATAATATTCACGTCCGAAATGCAGCAATGAATGAAGAATAAACATTTTTTTGACAGTTAATTAACATTAGGAATTTATAATTCAACGTATTTTACATTAATATCATAGAGCTAAATATGATATATGTCTGTCGCATTTAGGTCACTAAGACTTGTCCTGACAAGTTTCTCTTAACATGATGAATCTAGTCTTTAGATTAATGTCTCTTCAATAGAGAATTAACATATTAAAAATGAACAAGATAAAGTATCATCATAAAACGCTACATTTAACGGAATTAACAAAAAAAAAAAGAAATGTAGGCAAGTATTTTAATTAATTAGAATAGGCTTTTTTCTGACTAGATAATTAAGCACTAGATGAAAAGAACGTAATTAATCTCAAAAATAAATTTAGATTTAATATAGCTTCAAAAGAAGATATTAAATTGAATCCACTGATCAAACAGAAAAAACAAAGAACTTGATTCATTAATTAAAATAGTAGATGTGCTTCAATGAAGTCATGCGTCATAAAAATTAATAACGACAAGTACTTGACGTCATACAATAAAAACAACAAGATTAAGACAGGAAGATGGAACTGAAAAATTTTTTTTAAGAATTTGTCTTTTTTTAAATGGAATTTCAAGTAACACAATCTAACATAATATTTTCAAGAGATACATCTTTGTTAAAGTTTCAAAAGAAACAAGCAATCTTTATCGGAAATGTTTTTTAGCGATTATTTTATAGATAACCATATGTATGATGTATTCGGCTAAGAGGACATTCATTAAAAAAATTATCATATGACAATTTTCAGGGGCGGTGCGACCGGAGAGAGCGTAAAAGTCACATCCCTGCTCGGGGAAATTCCAGTTTAGGACTTCTCCGAATATTTTTATTTGAAATTTTTTGTGAATCGATTTTTACCAAATTTAGAGAACTTGCTAAGCGATTCTCTCTGATTTTTAAAAAATATATTAGATAACTTTCTCTGATCTTGAATCAGCTCTCTGCTGCGACTCCTCGCACCGTTCCTGACAATTTTGAAGATATATGTATGTAATCAACTTTACTATAATTCATGATTTATATTCATGAGTATTCATGACGCTAACAAACTTTCTAGACTGCCCATTATCTCAAGTATAATTCAACAACTAACTTGACTTCATTAATTTTAGTTCATTCATTTGTTTATTTTTGTAATTCATTAAATTCAATGAGATAGGGCTCAGAAAAATAAAATTTGAAAAGAAATAACATATGAAACTTAAATCTTTGTCACATCTGTATATTATAAATACTAAATAATGACTTTCTATACTTATCTTATTGTTTTACTTTAAATAATTATTAATCTTTTGTAATAATTCTAACAATAAACTATATTAATTCATAATCATTAATTAAATTGAACAGAACTATAAAGAGAAACAATTATAGTACGAAACAACTCTGGTGGAAAATCCAAAAATATAAATGTACGAATATGTCATATTAAATAATCGATGATAAAAATAGACATTTCTTTATTTATCTTTGTTTTTTTTCTAATAACGAATAATACAAGTTCATTGATCATTTTTGAATTTTTTGGATTTATTTTAAAAAATCTGTGAATACTTCGGACTGATCTTCAGTACATTATTCATACAAATAACAAGTAAAGGATACAAAAAAATTTTATTATTATTCAATGTGCACCTACTATTTTCTTTTCTATTTACCTTGCAATAATACAAGATGAAGAAAAGCGAGTTTGTGCATCACAATGTTAAAGAAAAGAAGAACGAAAATAAAATAAAATAATAGTTATGCATCTAATAATTAAAAAGATTCGTATCTTTCACTTGTCATTTGTGTAGATAATGTAGTGAAGGTCCGTCCGATATATTCACAAGATTTTTTTAAATAAATTCAAAAATGATTAATGAACTCGTATTGTTTGTTGT